TAAATAAGAACTGAAGTCCAAAAACTTTGAATGACACATCCTTGCTGATAACAACTAATCAGCAGTATACTATCAAGTGTTTTTCCTACTCTTTACCAGACAGCACTCTCTTACACATGATCAGACATAGCTAAAAGGATGTCTCTATATGCAAAACTCTGTAGCTATTTGATCTTCCTAGAACTGGGTGTAGATCTTTCGTTCACAGCTCAAATTTACTTGACGTTGAAGCACAGAAATAAGGAGAAATAATAGGCTAGAAATAGACTTATCAGTACTTTTACCTTGGTTGCAGAGATCCCTTCAATAACTTCTTTATTTGGATCTGGAGATTCTGAAGGTTGTTCAGTGTGGTGCCCAGAAACAGCTTCCAAAGCACATACTTCACCAGACTCATGGACACTGAAAATATTGGCATAAAGAAATTACTTCCTTGCCCCACCACATAGCCTCATGTGGTATCCTCTGTCTCCCACTGTTTCATTCATACAACTGTACCAATCAAGACAGAGTATTGACATGTCTTGATAAATGAGAAACACCCAGACCCAGCAGTTTAAAGGCACATGTAATGGGGACTATGGCAAACAACAATATAGAGGACCTTCTGAAGATTTTTGGAAAGGAAATCATGTATACATGATGTACTTTGCAGGGCTGCATGGATGAGTTAAAAAAACACTTTTCATATGCAATTACCTAGATGCATCATCTCCCTCTGCCTCTTCATCCAGTGTGTAGCATTGTGGATCTTCCTCAGCTAAGGGAAGAGTTTCATCAGGTGTTACTCTACCGGGGACATCTAGTTCCTCATCAGCTTCATTAATACTATTAGTCTCTGGCGCAGATATATTTTTTCCTGACAACAGATTGTAGATATTATCAGTTCCCCGCAAACCATCACCTAAGCAAGTCAAACACAAGAATTCTTCCAAATGGCTTAAGTTTGTTTCTACATATACTGACATTTTTTCAGTAAAATGCAATTACAGCATCACCATCTCCAGTGTGAACAAGCAAAGAAATTATTTATTTGGTTGGCTGGTTGTTTGCTTGCTTGCTTGTTTGTTTAGGGTATTTTAATATCCCTATTGCTTTAAATGCAAGCTATTTCCATGTGGATCAAGTCTGTCATGTTGTTTATTGTTCTATGTAGTTGGGAGGGATTACATTACTGGTTTCCTTGCCTCCTTTTTATGGCATAATAGCACCAATTTATGGCATAAAAGCTTCATCACCTCCAATGAATTAGAGACGGTACAGTAATTAGTATGGATAATCAATCATCCCTCTCCAGTTACAGTAAAAATACTTTAAAAAGGAACAGAAACACAGAAAACCTTTAATAAATAGAAAATAAAGGTATTCAATGGACTTCGTGACGAATAAACTTTATAAAAAGCATCCATAGAGAGGGGCATTGCTGGGTTCTAGAGTTTTATACACTGGATTATGGAGAAAACCAGAGAGTTCCAGAAAAATATCTACCTCTGCTTCATTGACTACGCAAAAGCCTTTGACTGTGTGGAGCACAGCAAATTATGGCAACTTCTTAAAGAAATGGGAGTGCCTGACCACCTTATCTATCTCCTGAGAAATCTATATGTGGGACAGAAAGCAACAGTGACAGGAAGCAACTGTGAGAACTGGATATGGAACAACTGATTGGTTCAAATTGGGAAAGGAGTACGACAAGGCTGCATATTGTCCCCTTGCTTATTCAACTTATATTCAGAATATATCATGCAAAAGGCTGGACTGGAGGAATCCCAAACCGGAATTAAGATTGCCGGAAGAAATATCAACAACCTCAGATATACAGATGATACCACTCTGATGGCAGAAAGTGAGGAGGA